GTCCCATGGGATCGGCCGGCCGTCGTTGCAGAGCTGTCTCACACGCTCCTTCAGGTCGTTCCTCGTGAGAGGAATATAGTTCCGACCAGCGTACAGCAGCACATCTTCCAGCGCATTTTCTTCCTCTTTCGTCAGCACAGTCCCGTGGCCAACCCGTGCGTCCATGTCGCACTCACCGCTCAGGCGCCGCAGTAGCGAGGTCTTGCTCAACCCAAAGGCAGCAGCGGCAGCGTAGCGTGACATGCTGCCGTTGCGGACCGCTGCACACGCCTTCTCGGCCGCTGCGGAGTCCACTCTACTCCGACCCATGCTTAGCAGGAAGGCGGACAAAAGTGCTAGTCTACGCAGAATCATCCGTACTGGTGCATCTGGTGCTGTAGCTCGTGGTGGAATGGTCGGATCGTCGCGCTGAGGTGCGCAAACGAAAGCTAACGCTTTCGCGAGAAATTCAAAAAAAAAATGAGGGGGACGGCAGATTTTGCACCGAGATATGCCCATTTGAAAAAAGTGGTCCTTATAGGGGGGGCGGTCCTTAATACCCGCCCTAACTCTATGCTGTACATATTAACAAAAGTACAACCGGGGTCCTTCAGCCTGTTAGAGCTGTTGGACCTCGGTAAACCCCAGGGCTGTAATCCCTGTAATCAACGCTGCCCCATGCGGTTCATCGAATTACAGGCGGGAATGTGTGTCTTCTTTTGGACGACTGGAGGAATGTTTACCGTCCGTCGGGATTCGAATCCCTCGTGGACCACTTGTGACGCCTTTATTCCGGAAAAACTGGAATACGCCTGAGAGACGGTATACATTCCAGTCGTCCAAGAGAAGACACACATTCCCGCCTGTAATTCGATGAACGGCATGGGGCAGCGCTGAATACAGGGATTACAGCCCTGGGGTTTACCGAGGTCCAACAGCTCTAACAGGCTGAAAGACCCCGGTTGTACTTTTGTAAGATGTTCATCCACTATGCTACAAGTCAGCGCTGACTTGTAGCATAGAGGATATGCTGTGCATCTTAACACAACCACTAGTGTCGGCCGAGGATGGGGGTTCTTACCGCAGGTAGTTTCTACTGCAGGGTCATCCTATAGTCCGTCCGGTTAAATTTTTCCACGATTGCCTAGAATCACTCGGGAATATATTGCGAGCGACTGACGTACCTCGTAATAACATACCTTATTATCGTAATAAAGCCCTATTTCAGGCGGATCGTTTGATCAGAGCAGATTTTTTTTTTTTTGTTGGCGAGAAAATCGCGATTCCGTCGAGATTTTGCCAGATTTTGTTATGTTTTAGTAGGGCGTGTTTGATGTCCACTTTTTTTCTAAGACCGGTGTTGAGCGTATCACGCCGAGGGCTACGCGGCGACCCAACTCAACTTTGTATTCGCTGAGATACAACGGAGAAATGGGCAAAAAGACTCATTCCAGCTGGTCCCAGAGTTATGTTTTTAATGGTGAAACCAACCGACGGATTCGGGCGAATTGGACCTGCACCCAGGACCGTTTTTTTTTTTTTGCGAACAAATTTTTCTGAAAGAGTTTTATGGCCCATCAAAGTTTGGTGCCGCCACACACACCACACAACACACCACACACCACACACCACACGCTACAGCAGTCACATAGACCCCACTGAGGGCCCATCCAAGCCCATACATGGTTCGGCGTGCCCCCGGTAAACGAAACAAGAAGCGTGGCTGCTGCCAAACAAGAACAGGTGGTCGGTTCGACGCGAAAGCGGCCGCGTCACCATCCCCCGCTGCGGACGCTTCACCGCCACATGACCACCACAACACATGTTATGAAGGAGACGAGGAGGACCACAGCAGCAGCCAACACAGACTCTTGCGCTAGGTTTCCTTCTCTGCTCTTGCGGGGTTTCCAGGTACCACCCGGAGCTCAATGCTATCGAGCGTTTCTGGGGCTACACCAAGTCTATCGAGCGCCGTGTCTGCGACTACTCCGTCCTGAGTCTGCTTGCAAGGCTTCCCATGACGCTGAGCACTGTCTCTTTGTAACTGTGCCGAAAATGGGCCCGTGTTTCCTGGCTGTACATATATGCCTACAGCCACGGGCTTGAGGGCTACTTGCAAACCCGAGACCTCAAGAAGTGGACGAACCACCGCTCGCCCACCGACACGGCCGACAACGTGTTGCTGGCTCGTGGCCAAGCAACAACCGCGGAGGAGCGCAAGGCCAAAGAGCAGGCCGCCCTTGCCGCGGCCAAGGAGGCCAGAAAAAAGTCTAACGAGGCTGCCGATAAGATGTTGTAGCGTTTCGTAGCGGCAAAGCTCCCACCACCTCACTTCACCGGCAGCACCAGCCGGCGCGATGTTGTATCTGTGTAACTATATAGGTAGATAGATATTCTACCTTACATTTGCGTCGTGCTCCTTTAGTCTATACTTCGATATAAAAATATTTACATGTCGTCTTAACCGACATGGTATATAGTATTCTAGATAGATAGAATGTAATAGACACAACTTAATGTAGATAGAATATATATCTATCAAGCGAAAAAGATTGTTCTACTCGGCGCTGCCGAGCTAAGGGTGCAGGGCCCTGCCTACGGGGCTGTACTCGGAGTAATACGTGCCGTTTCGGGCAATACGCGGCGTTTCGGGGTAACTTCGGGGTAATTTTCGCCCAAAAACGGCCACTTTCACCAAAAAATAAATCGACCCCGGATATCGATGCTTCTCGACCTTGCGGTTCTTCTCAACTTTTTTTCGCGTGTCAACTCTCAAAAACAAGCGAGAAAAAGTGGGGGTCATGTTGTGGAAAATATATAACCGGACGGACTCTACCAATGGTTGAATTAGTCTAGCTATAGTCTATAGGTTTTAGTGCAGGGGCTCTATCCGAGCTCACAAACCGTGCTCAAGCTCTTACATGTTTGAAAACAACTGCTGCTGGGTTCTGTAGACGAATGAGCCATGGGCTTTGTTTAACATCATCGCCTGGATCTCGCCCTGCAAGACTCAACTCGCAACACACACGCCGTGGTAGGGGTGTGCAGTTGATGCCTACACCCCACACAACAGCGGGCAGCAGCTGAGGACAGGGTGCAGGAGGGGGGCAGGTCATGCCATCCCTCTGCGCATGCACAACACACGAGGTGGGAACTCGAAAACTGGTACTTTCTCAAATCTTTCAGAGATAGGTCTACATTAATCCTTCCTCCTGAGCAACACAAAAGGGGACTCGACACATACGAAACACGTTGCACGGAAACACGCTACGGGGTCAACAGAACAGGTGCAGGCCGTCAACCACAGCCGCCACCACCGACACTTGCGCAGCGTTCAAAATCAACCGTTGCGGGTCACGTGGCGGCTGTCAACATCGCTGACCGGTGCATCAGCCTACCAAGGAGCAGCGATTGTTTCAGTGGCCGCACCCAACCACGTCATGCCTCGAACACCCTGCCGTCTAACACGGAGCAGCAACAATTGCAACGATTTCGCCCAAACACACAAAGCGTGCAAGTTGCCGCCAACATGTGCGCCAACGCATTTATCGGGAGCTCACAATGAAGCTGTTCATCGTCAATCAGGGTTTACTTTCGAACACGGTGCCTTGGTGATGAGTCTGACGATGGGCCAGCATAGAGTGCAAGAACCTTTCGCAAGGTCAAAGACAGCCGCTTGCCGTGCCTGGTATCTTCGGGACCCGGTTCAGCACTGCTCTTGACTACTGCCCCGAGATCTCCGTGTTCAGCAAGAAGGCTTTCGGCGTGGCTTTTACGTGAGCTCAAAACCAGCGTTGGCGCTGATAGCGTAGAGCAGCTTCTCCCTCAACGTCTGCCGGTCTGAGTACTGGGGCAACTGCCGGCGACAAGCAAACAAAAGAAAAGAAACCGAGAGCAAAAAGCGGGGAAAGAGAAGACAAAGGTGGGATAAGCACAGGGGTTGAGTACTGACCACGAGAATGAAAAAAGCGGGCATACTGGGAAACAAAACTGCACTCCAAAGGTCCCCAACTCTTGCACGCACAAGGTCCCCGATTCTGGACATGAACAGCCCTAACCGAGACACTTTCCACCTTTGTCGCGTCCGAGAGTACACGCTCAACTCTGCTGCCCCATGCCCACTTATACCCTGCTTCATGCATGCACCGATGGGCACTCCCACTCTCCTCCTGTCTGCGCTCTTTTCTCGCCCCCCTGCGAGCATCGTTCGCCGGATCCACACAGCCAACGTTCCCCCTCTTCTCGAAACGCGCTTACCAGAAATAACTGACAACCGCAAAAGAAAAAATTGAGGACTGCCTTCCACCTGTGCCGACCGAACCCTCGCCATCAAATACTCACCTTGAGCAGGTTCATGCACGTTGCGCTAGAGGGCAGCCTCCCTTCATCTCCCTCGGGGACCCTCTGCAGACAGATTGGGGGGTTGAGTCGCTCGAAGCCCAGCAGCGGCGGCCTCGAGCAGGACGTGACGAACTTGAGAAACTGCCCCTGCTCTTCGGGGCTGAACGACTCGATCGCTTCCCAGAACCACTGCGGGGATTGGGGAGGGGGGGGGGGGNGGTACGTCGATGAAAATCAACATGGAGGCTCGCAGGTGGAGGATCGCTGCAATAGGCTTTCACCGCACCAATCTCGAAAACATGGTCAATTCCAAGAAGAGCAAACTACTCTGCGCGTAGCACACTACACAGCACCGCGGCATAACCTTGACCACAAACGGCTTAAGGTCAAAATCACGATAGTCATGCCGGGTGAGGAAGGCGTCCCTCACGCGGGGGAGAGACCCCCGCCGCCAACCAGGCTGTCACTGGAGTGCACTGCCGAACGAGACCAAAGCCGGGCCGTCATACCGACAGCCCGGAGCACATACCTGCATCACGGGCTGGCTTTGGTGGTAGCCCCCCGCGTAAAGCGTGTTCCGCTTGAGATCTTCCACGTCGATGGCGCGCCCTCCCTCCCCCCCGATGAGTCGCTGCAGCTCCTGGGGGTTGAACATCCGGACCCATTCCACCGGGATCAAGTCCCTGTCCAGGTTCGACAAATAAAAAGCGGAATATAGCGCAAATGAGGAACAATCACGAAACTGGTCGGGTTTAGGCCCAGCACTTGCCTATCTGCATGGTGAAAGCGATCACAGAACAGATGGTCAGATACACAAAATCAACACGTGTATGCGTGTTTACTGCGGCAGGTATCACTGATGTTTCAGTTCAAGGCTTCAAATAACTCAAATAGGTCCAGTTTCCAGCATGGTTCCCTTTCGATTTTCACTGAGCAGACTTCAAACCTTTCAATCGAGCAGGGTATCGATATCCCAAACACCTAATCTCTCTTTGATTAATTTGATACATAATCTATAAAGAACAGACAGGCCTCCTTTTGGTTATTCGCCCCGGGCTATTCGACCCCGGGCGGATATGCAGCACAGGCAAATCCACTCCTTCGCCGGAACGAAGCTTGCGACAAGGCAGCCTCAGGGGTACAAGGAGACAATCTACAAAAAACGGACAAGAAACGGACGAGGGCTAAACAATCTCAACAGCTGCACGCAGTGTTCATCAGAAACGAGGGCAAAACTTTTCGTCGCGTCGTGCCACGCCGAGTGACGCACCGTGGCCGGCTGCAGGATGCCATGGTGACTTAACCACACCTACTCATCCTACGTCCAAATCAATCCTGAGGCTATTGCTAGAGGCGAATCGGCGTTTCTAGAAAGGGAAGCTTTCCCACGTTTGTGAGCATAACGCTGGTGGCACAAGCTAACGGTTGTCCCAATCTTGGCCGCCCCATGCAACCGAAGTTTTGTTCACACTACTGCACGCGTGCTACGTCGAACTCTAAGGTACCTCAAGCGTAAGATCCATGCACCAGCCGTCACAATTCCCGCGCGACCGAAATTTTTCGACACCATACAGAAGCACGTGGGGAGTCGCGATCATTGGCTCACCGGAAGCCCTTCATGAAGGCCTTGCACGGCCGAGCCGTCTGCACGTTAAGCTTGAAGTGCGCCATCAGGTGGATGTACGAGATCACCGACGCATTGGTGACGACAACATCGCGGCCACCAGGGATCAGGTCCCACACCTGCCGCGCCACCATTACAAACGTCGGGTTAACCCATACCGCCAGCGCTTTCCAAGGTATGTCTGCCTGGTGCTACACGTTGCCGTTGCCAATTGTCGTGCCATCGGTAATAGCGGTACCACTAGCGTTTACGAAAACATTACTCCCTACTGCCTACCAAGTACAGTGGTGCCACACTTTCCATAGTGGTACCTTCGTCTCTCCGAAGGCGGTGGTGCTAGCGCTGAACGTAAGGCAGAGGTCGGCCACATCCCCACCGCTGTGGACGATACCCTGCCACACACGGTACGTACGTCGGCCACACGGGGCAGACATGGCGGGCACAATACTTAACGACGACCTCGCTCATCCCGAAGGAACGAGCTACTTCTCCCTCGACAGTAGTTGCACGGACATGATATACGCACACATGCATGAACGGAACAAAATAAAGTACACCGCGTTGGCACGGTCTACTTGAGGTAAGCGTCGTCGTGCGCGCGCAAATCGAACCACAATGCGCGCGAAAGATAATACCGCTACCTTCGCTGGACGTGACTAGTGGTATTTCCATCGATGCGTCTGCATTACTGTACCCAACCGCAGGAAAAATCGAGCGGGCCCAAGGAACAAGGAGCTCGGCCGGGTAACCGTAACTGTAATTGTGTCACACCGAAACGCAACCCAGGAAAGCTCCGGACGGAATGAAATAAAAATACGAGAACCTGCTCCAGCGGTCGCCAAGAGACGTAGATTCAACAGCTCACCTTGAGCTGCATAAGGTTCCGGTACACTTCCGGGTCCAAGCTGTACAGGTCGTCGATGTAGTTGTACTATAACATAATAGCGATGGGTGACGGGGGTTCGAGAGGATCGCGCAGGGAGAACAAAAAAAGGGAATTGTTGGTTGCAATCGAAGCGATAGCAGCCTGGGGCATGGAAATCAGCCCGAAACGGGAAGAAAAGATGCGGCGAAACTCGACCAACATATATAACGCTTTTCCAGCCACAACACCGACTACGAGAAAAAGACAGCCAACGCATCTACGACACGCCTCACTTCCCTCGTGAGCGTGTTGAGAAACCCAAGGGCACTCCGCAACCCAAACACTGAAGATGGCGCAATTGCCCAGACGGTCTAAGGCCAGACGTTGGTCTTCACACCAATACAGATTCTGGAAGCGCAAGCAGGGGTCACACGGATACACTGGATCCGCACGCGAAACAACCATATTTGTTGCGTGATCGCGACGTAGTAAAATAGTACACCGCTGGGCTTACCCTCCCCAGAAGCTTGTTCAGGAACACCGGGCTGAACTGCGGCTCCACCAGGATGTCCTCGAACACCGCCTTTGCAAGGACTCGGCCCAGGAACTCGAAGTGGAACAGGTAGTCGTCCGCCACCATCGACGCAGCGGGATTCGGGAACAGGTACTGTCGGGCGGCAACGGCGGCAACGAAACATGGTATGAAGTAGAGCAGAGCAGTACACCGCGCGACAGGGACGAGGGGAATTCTCACAATCAGGTGCTATTAACAAAACAACCGAGTGCATGCCCAAACAGCAGTCAACCGTCGACAAGAGAAACACCACGTGTTTGAGAGCACCATACGTTTAAGCGCTGCAAGACAATCAACAGCGAAATGTTCATCCAGACCGACCACTTACACCACGAGATCATTGCGACACTCGCCGTACTACGCACACACAAAGAACCGCAGTGACGTTAGGAAATCCCGTCAATGACTCGCGCATTCTGATTGGCCGGTCGGTTGTCCCGATCGGTGCCAACTACTACACAAGGCCGCACGCACACCCGGTCTCCAGACTAGAAATTTTGGTTATGCGATACGCTCTGCGACGAGACTTACAAAGTCTTATCAATGGTCAGCCAAACAGCGCCGCCGAAGATTCTCCGCAAACGACAAACTATCATGGAACCCCCCGCCGCACAAACCTGGTCCTGTGTCGCGATAAAGAGAGCGTACTGCGGGTCGAAGGCCCTCTTTGTGAGCAGGTCCATGTACTCCTTGAAAACGCCCCCTCCGTCGATACCGGCCTCCTCAACGCCGTGCTGGTTCATGAACGTCACTTGGATCCTTCCCTTCAGAAACGATCCTGGAGGAGCATACCCGGAGAGGGGTGGGTGGGTGACCGATACACGAAGTGGTGACTTTCTTGGAACCAAAGAAAAGTGCGGGTGAAGAGGCAACGCTCGGAATTGAGCGCCAGTGTAGTGACATGGGCAGCACTGAACTGGTTCAGTGCTGGTTCAGTGCTGGTTCAGTGCTGGTTCTGGGACAAGGGCACCGTCACCACAACGACACAAGCACGCCACAAAAAAAAAAGGAGCGGGACGAAAAAATATTGTTCTGGGCGTATTGAAGTGTTTCGTTTTCGGCAGACCGACAAAAGTCTAGTCGCGTGCGAGCACGTCAAGCCTCTTCACGCACATCTTACGCGGCCAAGGCGGTCGCAATTCGTCCGTTCTCAACGCCGAACGACGCTCGCATCAAACATGAACGGGCCGTAGAAAAAGTGGGTCATCAAGGCAAAAGTCGCAACCTACCCCAGAGACCGCGGAACAAGCAACAACGCTACAAGCAGCAATCATACCCCTACACCACATACACGTGGGAAATATCACACATACGACTGGCATACACACTTGACATACATATTCATACAGACACGACTGAACATTATGTACTGCACTTGGAACAGGGATGCACACGCACCCACAAACGTTGTCGGCAACACGTAAAGACTAGCGCAATACTGTACCACCCTAAACGTAAAGCCGTAACCAAGCCGATGATAGCAGCGCTGCATGGGTGAACCAAGCACAAAAAGAAAAAACAGAAACAGTGTTCGAGAGTATTGTGCCGATAATTAGGTATTTTCGAAGTCCAGCCAGCTAGCGCGCTCGTGCTGAGAATAACGTAGACACGCACCCATACCTAGCTTGGTGAGTGCTTCCGCCGAATCCTCGTAGAGGGAGTCTCTGCTGACGCGTATGCGCGAAGAGCCCTGGACACGTGACGACAAGGGGGCGCGAAAACAAAACAGCCAGGACAACAACATTCATCTCAGACTGACTTTGGAGGTATCTCGACTCGAAACTTGGGTCGGTCGGAACCATCCCCGGCCTCCCACTGCTTTCTCCCAAAGTCAATTTCAAGTCTCCCATGAAGACCTCGAGATATGGCGAACAACGTTTCTGCGGAAAAATTGGTTACCTCCACATTGGGTTACCCGAAATTACGGGTATACATACCTCCCCATTTGGTTACTGGCAACTACATGTTGCAGGATGTACGAATCGCTTAAATCAGAGCACAAGCACACCATCGAAAAATTAACAAAAAAAGTACCCGGGCGAAGGCCAAGCTCCCCTGGTGCTCCTCTCTCTCGGCGTCGATCATCTGGCGGAAGATTCCCACTCGCTGAAAGAATGGTACCACCTGACAATACACAAGAAAAAGAGACCGGAACGCGAGGGTGGATGACACCGCCGACAAAGCTTGCGCGACAAAGCGGAAACACGGGTCCGCAGCCATCGCGATAACGCGTTTGTAATAAAAAAGCAAAAAGGGAACGCTCGATTCGCAGCCACTGGCTGTAAAACCGGGGAGCGCGTGGCCCACGCACAACGGCCACGCCCGTTGGCGCAAATCACGAACGGTCCCAATCGTGTCCGACCGACCAACTACCGTTGCTACTGACGATGATGAGCCTCGTGATAATGACGGCCCGGCGCGCGAGAGAGATCTCGAGGCGTACGCCACGCACCCAAGGGCTGAGCGAGAGCGATCTCGCTTGCTTGAGCGCGGTGGTACTGTAACGGCAGAGCAAAAAGAAAAAAAGCGCATCGTTGCCTGGCTGCCGCTCTCGTTCTTGGGAGCCCACTATCCATCTCCATCGCCTGAACGCCACCACCGCGCTGTTCAAACATGCCAGCAATGAAAACACGAAATACTGTACCTGAGGAATGTTGGCGAGCACCATGCCCAGGTTTCCCTTGCTCAAGAACGCCACCCTTGGGTCACCTGCAAAAAAAAAAAAAGGACACACGACAAAAAGAGGGGTTACACGCAGTCGTACGAGATGCTACGCTGCATTCCCCGTTCCCGAACGACGGGAGAAAAACTCTTTGACGTGTTTCTGCAGCTAGTGATACTCCGGGTGATTTTTTGGGCCTGCCCTCAAAAGTGAAAAGTGGCTACCGCTATTGCTGGCTGCAGCCTCGAGGGTCGCGGGCGTGGAAAACAACATCAATTATCTTGTTTTCGCATCGCGTTCCGCGAAAATCCCCATTTCGTGTCCGCCTCCCCCGCGTACCACGCAAGGGCATCGTCCACCAGAACGCTGGGTTGGGTGGAACGACGGAATGGTTCAACACGAAGGCGACACGCTACTAAGGCGCCGGACGCACGAGGGAAAGGGAGAAAGCAATAGACCGAAATAAATACTTTAAGCCACAGTCGTCGTTGACAGCATGCAATAACCCAAGAAAAAAAAAAGGCACTGGTTGGCGGGGAGGAACGCCCGCGGGCGAGCTTCGTCGAGGAAGCGATACATAAACATAACTTTAACAAGACGGCGAGGGCGAGAAACCACGTGAGGTGCACTGAAGCGTTTGATGTTCAGAAAAACAGCCGGCTGCACCGAAGCATGTACGTACGACGGCCGAATGTACCTTGGGCGGGAGGTGACAGGTCGACCGCTGAGATAGCCTTCCAGTACCAAGACTCCGCCTTCAAAAACTCCCGCCTGCCGAACAACGAACGGCGTGTACAGGAAAGCAGCGGCCGAGGGCGGGACTAAAGTCGGATGCGTAGGTATGGATACGACTAATAGGCTGGTGGCCCGTCGCAGGGATACGCCAAGACCAGACACACGGCGCGGCCCGCAGCAACAAACACAAGAGGCCGAGCAAGAGCCTTCGCGACCTCCAGCCAGAGCCGAACGCATCAGACGTGAACACACCCTCGAAATGCGGACCCTGCCTAGGCAAGCATGCGGACAGGGATAAAGGCGGGTGTGTCTCGAAAACCACGAGTGGTTTCTCCGAGAGGGATACGCATGCACTGTCGGGGAGGTTGGCGCGGAGAGCGGCAGCTATAAACCGACCAACACGGTCGCCCACCCTCGACAGGCCGCCTCAACGTAGTCTTGCGGCCTCAAGTCAGCACAACAACGCTGCGAGACCCAGCCAAGCGCAACTAATCCGGTGGCGATGAACATGTGCTGGTTGTTGCTAAACGCCCACACCACGCTACAGCAGTACTAACACCATTTTCGCCACGGAAAGGCGCCGAAATCGTTATATGTTGTGCATTTTTTTTCGTTGTCTAGAAAGGTGTACCCCCTTCTGGGGTATAGTACTTGGCTTGTGACCTAGGAAGCCATCCGCATCAGTCGGACCCGGGTACGGACGTTAGAAGGTACTGAGCGGAGAGTGGCCGCCATTTTGAGCACCTTCACTGCCGCATTTGCTGCTACAGAGTAACGGCGTCTTGAAGGTAGGTCCATGAAATTGAATGTCGCCTACAGCAGCACTACTCTTGTCAGGTGAGCAGCGAAGACAAACCTGGTGTTGCGGTCGTAGAGTTGGTTGAAGAGCCTCGTGGCCGACAGCAGCAGCAGCGCCTCCCTGAGGTGTTCCTCGCATTGCCGAAGGGCCAGGGTGGGATCGGACGGCAAGCCATCTTCCCGCAGCCGCGGGATGACCGGGTCGATCAAGTACATCCTGCCGAGGCGAGGTCGTGGGTGGGTTGCCGTGGTGGATGAAAGGAGGAGATTTCAAGGGAGGGGTTGACGTTACGGAGAACGCGATAGGTCGTGTCAATGGGATTTTGCGGCAGGGATAACAACAGCGCAGCAGGCGTCCGCGAAGAGGGAGCAGGAGGAGCAATCCAACACACGCGCAAGAAAGATACAGTACACCAACAGTCGCGTCCTTTTCGGAAACATCTCGTCGAGAGCTTTCCGTAGAATTATCGGGCTCGATCCGCACCCCGCTGGCCGTGCAACATTCAAGCTTCGTACGTCAGTACAGGCGGGGGCCCACCTGTTTCGGTATTCCACCGGCTTAGCGGGGGACTGGCACGCGTGAGCAGTTCTCCTCCAAAACAAGACTGGATGTCGGTGAAGTCTACTATGCGCACTCCAACGGGCTTCTCATCGGGGTAGTGGCACACGAGCCATGAAAAGGCTGCCAACAAACAGAACAGCGATTGGAGCTCACCGGCAAAGCCAATCCTTCAGGAAACCGGCGAGCTGGCGCACCTCCTCGAGCTTCAGCGGCCTCTGCTTCTCGTAGAACTCCTCGTCGTCTAACGCCAGCAGCTGGTGGCTGACAATGTATGTAGTCGAGACGTTCGGAAAAAACGTCGGGCGGGAAGCGGCGACAGCGAGGGACGGTCCACAAGAAGGACAAGAGAGTTTGGTGACTACTTGACGGACGGTGAAGCACCGTTGAGGGGGGGCCTTGAGTGTGCTGGCCTTGCCGGGGAGAGAAAGTTGGTCTCACTCGAAGCTTGCAGCAAAATACAACTATTTAGAAACAGCGACGTCTGCCGACACAGTAGCAACAACTCTCCACCGTCGCCGTGAAGAGAGCAATGACACGTTTCGGTGACACCCGCCAGCACAAACAACCTCTTGCTCCCCAACCAAGGACATCTACTCAATCGCACGTAACGCCGGCGGCGGCAATGCCCAAGGGAAACTAAACTATTCCCGTCGCCGGTCGCGCGCCAAGTTACGCGTCCGTCGAGAAACCCCATCAAGCGCAGTAGAGCACCAGCGAGGACACGCGGCCACGCCCCCACGAGCATCGCTACGAAACCCTCCATTGCACTACACGGAGTATAAAAAAAGCATAACAACCCGGCCTTGTTCTAGGGCGACAAAGGAGGAGAGCAAAAAATACACAGAGGTAGCAAAAATCGATTCGTTGCTTACCCCGCCCTTTCTCCCCCCCCGAAAAAATCCCGCGCCGACCGACCCACCTGCACGCCGAGCAGAACAAAAACAGGGCCGACTGCATCCCTCCGCCTCCCGCCTTGTTCGCCGCCCCTCCCCGGCCGCTGCCGCCGCCGCCAGCCCCCCTCTTCGCGTAAACCCCGAGGTCTTGTCCCCGCTGGAGGTATCCCCACAGGCGCGCGGCGATCGGAGCCTTAGGCCTCCCGAAGGCGAGCGCGTTCAGCACCGACTTCCCGGGCGCCACCGCCGATTTTCCGGCGGTCGTCGAGGAGCCTCCCGCGGCGGTGCTACTGCCGCCGGCGGCGGCCGCGGCGGACCCGGCCGCTCTCACCCCATCCGTGACCAGGTCCGCGTACAACGAGCACAGGGCGAGGACGGGGTCGTCGTCGTCATCGTCATCGCCCTTTGCGCTGCTCTCCGCCCCGGCGCTGCCCCCCCGGTGGTCGGCTCGAGCTGTCGAAAACGCCTCCGTGCGAGAGCTGCCGCCTAGGCCGGTCTGCTGCCTCTCGGACGACCTCCACGCAACGGGGGGAAGGATACTATCGAAAAGCCTGCCGACTATGACGGGGTCGGCAAGCCTCCCCGCCGCCGCCGCCATCGCCTCGATCTCCTCCAACACCATCGACGCCGCACTTTCCCTCTCGTCGCCGCCGCCGCAGCTTACACGCCGCTTCGAACCACTCGAGTAGCCCCCCCGGGAGGAGCCCTTCGTTTCGCGTAGCGATTGATTGTGGGCCGCCAGCGCCTCGGTCCGCATGGCGCAGCGGCGACGATGGCGCCGCACGATGGCCTCGAGGCGCACGTCCCCGCCGACCCCGAAGACGTCTTTCGCTCCTGCGCCGCCGCCGCCGCCGCCGCCACCGGGTGCCGCCACCGCTCCGCCTCGCTCCGACGCCGCGCCTGAGAACGCCTCGTCCACGGCGACGTCGTCGTCGTCTTCGTCGTCGTCCGTAAGCTTTTTCGGAACAAAAAAAGTCACCAGACACAAACAGCGGTAGGGCAGGCGGGGTTTTGGATAAGGTGAGACCTTGAACCAACCAGTCTTTAAAAAAGCGGGTCCAATGGCGGAGCTGATCAGGCTTCTCGCCTGTTGTCCCCTGATCCCCCCCGAAGCACCGCCGCTGCGGCCGGACGGAAGAAGACCTCAACGTGAGAGGGGTTCGCAAACGCGCCACAACAAGCGAAAATAGGGTCCCCCGCTGTTCGAGACACGCAACAATAGGATGTGCCAAGAGTGGACGACCATACGCCAGTAACCTTCCCGGGTACCTAAATGTTATCCCATCCCCCTCGGGAGGTCACCCCCGATCCACACAGGGCAAAGACCGGCACACCTGCCCCCGGTTGAACGGCTGGGTTCCACACGAATGCAGCCGGTAGCCTTTGACCTCCTGGGCAGCGGAGACCGCGACAGGCACGCGGAGACAAACACGACACCAAAGACATCGAAAGCTGGCCGCCCCGTCCACCTCAGGCCAACCCTGCGTTCCTCGGCCCCAAAACATTAAACTACTGGCGCGCGTTTTTGGCTCAAACGAGGATTGTACTTTGCACCTCACCTCCGGCGATTCCATCTGCCTTCCAGCGCCCCCCGCTCCCGCCGCCCCCGTCCTCCCCGCCCCCTGTAGGAAGGCGTGCAGGGAAACCTTCCGCAGCAGTCTGCATAGGGCTCGCACGAGACACGGGGCGCGTTCCGCGCTGCTACCCGTGTCCACCTACGCGAACGGCAGGGGCAGCAGCATTGCACAAGGTCCGAGGGAACAAATAAGGGGTGTAGAGGAACACATGCGAAGTGAGGGAGGCGGGCGTGAGGGAGGAACAGCACGGGATATTGCTGCCGTGTGGCCGAAAACGTGGCGGCCTGGTCTGATCCGTGGGGGGGGGGGGGGGGGGG